GGTGGGAGGCTGCACGGCCATGCAGGGGTGGCAGTGGGAGCTGCACAGCATTGCTGGTGTCTCCCCAGCACAAGGCTGCTCCATGCCTGGCACAGCCCCCCCCAGCCTGCTCAGGTTCTGTGTGGGAGCAGCCCCAGTTCTGTATCTGTACCATCCTCAGTCCCAGCCCCATCCCTACAGCTCCATCCTCATCCCAGTCCAGCTCCAGCCTCCACCCAGCCAAGTCCCCTCAGCTGCCACCACCCTGCCATGGGAACATCCCTCTGACCATGGGAACATCCCTCTGTTTCCCAGACTGCCTGTGGGTGGGTCACTTTGTAAAGCCAACATGGTTTGGCTCAGCCAGGGCAGCCCCCCAAGAGCTGCTCTGACTCCCCCCACCCCAAGGAGAGGCCCTGGGGTTTGCTCAGCAGCTCCTGTGCTGCACCCTGGGCTGGGACCAGCCATGCTGGTGCTGGTGGCCCAGCCATGTGGCACCATCCCCCCCTCAGGGCTGGGTGTCCTGCTGCTGTGGCTGAGCAGCCTGTGGCTACTTATGCTGCACCCTTGAAAGCTTCTGCTCCATCGCAAACCACCGTGACGGTGTGAAACGCAGACGGGAAGGGGCTTTTACGAAAGCAGCCGCCAGCAGGGGCCTCGTGTGGCTGCTGGGGTTTGGGCCCTGCTGAGCCTGCACTGACCTTGGCCACTGCTGCCTCCCCAGGGGCTGATGATGGTTGGGAGAAGATTCATTTGCTACTGGAACTGGTGGTGAAGCCCCACTGGGGTCCCCAGGGTTGTGTGGGACAACCCTTGGTCACCATGTGCCCAGTTCTGTGCTGCCCAGAACCTTCTGGGATTAGTGCTGGTGAGTAAAATGGGGGCCCCCAGTCACCCCTGCTCTGACCTGGACAGTGGGGCTGGGCAGAGGGGCCTTGTCTTACTGCCTGGTTGGGACACACAGGGCTGGCAGAAGCATCCCCATGGGTTTCTTTGGCTGCAGGATGCAGCCCTTGCCAGGCAGTGCCATGCCACAAGCAGCAAGGAAAACAGCAGTAACATGCCAGCTTCTGCACCTCACATTCAGTGGGAAAGACTCCAAGCAAGCCACAGAACCACCCCCGCAGGTTGTTTCAGGAGTTAAGATGAAATAATGACAGCCTGGGGGGGGATGGAGGCCCTGAAGTCCTCAGTCCTGCTTCCTCCTCAATGTGTGACTGACACCAGCTGGGCACTGGCTCTATCTTGAAAACCTCCAGGCACAGACATCCCTCCCCATCCCTCATCCCACAGCTGCACCACCCTCCTGGCTTACAAAGAAGGAAATAAATAGATACATCCCAGTATCAGTTCTGAGCCTCCCAAACTGAAAATTTAGGCTGTCACTCCTGGCACTGCCAAGAAGAGGTTTGCTCCTGACCCTTTCACGGAGGAGCACGACCAGTTGTGGGTGGGCAGGGGCTGCCTGTGGCACAGCTGGGGCTGTGGGGCTGGGGTGGGTGGAGTGAAGCTGCTGTCCTGCAAAGACTGTGGTTTTCTGTGGCACCTTCCAGCACAAGAGGCCTTGCAGCTGAGCAGTGGCCGAGCCAAAACCACAGCCCACAGCTCAGAAGTGTTTTTCCATCAGTGACCACAGAGAACCTATTGGCAGAGCTGAGCTCAGTGAGACTCACCTGGGCTGCTGAAGAAAAGGATGCAGGTATCTATGGATAGAGAAATTTGGGAGCTCGTGCTGGGAGTGCCTCTGAGTGAGTTTGTCTCAAGGTTTTGAGCAACAGGTGGCTCAGTCCTAAGGGTGTGGGAGAGCTGGAAGGCACTTGGTCCACCCCCTGCACATCCCTGGCTGAGACCCTGGCACAGGCCTGCCAGCTCCAGCCAGAAGAAAGTGGTCTAGGAAACACTTGGGGATTTCACCAGGACTGACTCTAACCTCAGTGCTGTGCCTTGAGCTGTGGAACTGCCCAACTGTCCCCTCCCAAGGGCTCCCACCCTGGCAGCAACCAGAACCAGCACTGGTGTGCTCCAGGATCCCAGCCCAGGGACACCTGTCTTGAGCTCAAGCTCTGCTCCTGGATTTGGTTGGCACTGCTTTTGCCACCCAAAGAAACATTTTGTGCTTTATTAAACTCATTTCTCAACTTGTATTTAGGAAAAGCACTTGCTCATGTGAAAATAAATTTTCTTTTTCCAGCTATCCTTGGGGTAATAAAATAGATGACACCCCTCACTACAAATCTTGCCTTGCTTATGCCTATGAACCACCATAGCAACAAAATGCTCTGTTTAATCATGCTCCCCTTCCAAACTGCTACATTCTCATCTATTTACTCTTTGGGTTCCTTATCCACAGGCAGCCTGGAGCTCTGAGCTCCACATCACCACGAACATCACTTGGCAAGCTCACACCAACCCCTACTGTGGTTTGACTTCCTCTAATCCATTGAATTGCCATTTTAATCTTGTGTTTGCCTCTCCTTTGGTCTGTTGCTGCATTTTCATAAGGGAACTGGAGTAAGAAGGGGTTCTCAGGGCAGTTATCTGGCAATACAGCAGTGCTGCACATACATCAGCTCAGTCCTTGAGCTCACTGCTTTGATTCAGCACTTGCATTTAGCTGCAACTAACTTCACGTGGTACCTGGTGGCCTAGTCTCTTTGGTAGCCTCCTGTCTTCTACAGACTCACACGTATTTTTGGTCATTTAATCACTTTAGTGTGTCATTACACACTCACTAATGTAACTGGCCAGTTTTTCCCATTTCTCACCTTTGATTCAATTTGTGGTTCCTGCACAGACCTTCCTCAAAGCAGGAGGCTGCAGGAGTCCACCCTGCAGACATGACTAATCTGTCACCAACAGTTTAACACCCCTGCAGTCCCAGCTTGTTTTTCTGTGAAAGTAAGAGGACAGACATCTGCAACTGGAGAGCAAAAGCTGGGTCTGAAAAGGAGAAGATGAAGCAACAGTTGCATCCAATGCCCAAGCGGTGCGTTTGGCTGCAGCTGGATGTGGCTGCAGGCAGACCTGCCAAGGCTCAGGCTGCCTCTGAGCTGCCCTCTGTCCTGCCCTGCCACCACACTGCCTTGTCCCAGGGCTCACAGGTTAACTTTACCCCCCTAACACACACCAGTGCAGAGCACAGCTCACCAGGGCATGTGGCTCCCCATGCTTACCCGTGTTCGGGGGCAGTAGCTGGGGGTGTCCTGGTGTGCAGCAAACCTGTCCTTCCCCTCCACTCGGCTGAAGCTTGTAATGGACAAGTTCAAACCAGGACAAAGCTGAAGGTTCTTGTAGCATGTTCACAGAGCCAGTTCTCCAGTGCCTTTCAACAGCCTGCTAAGAGGACATGGGAGCACCTGACCACGCTGCTCCCTCACAGCTGGCAAGAGGTGCCAGTGCTACCCCTTCCATGGGAAAGTTTGCCTCATGGATGAGGCACCAGAACTGACAAAACCAGCAGGAGTGTCAGGTCATGGCAAAAAACCCCCAACAAACCCACCACAGGCACACAGAGTAACAATGAATCTCAGTTATAGCTTTATTTAATAACTGGTACAAAGTCCCCCTCAGACAGAGCCTCCCAGTCCCATTCCCTACCTGAAATGGAGCAGAAGATGAGCATGACCCAGTCAGGACTGCTCAACAGCTAAGAAAGGAGGTTTTGCTCATCTATTGAGACCTGTAGCAGCCTGACCACTCATCCCTTTTCTCCCACTAACAGCCAGACCCTGGCACACAGCAGGCATTTGCCTCCTGGCTTCTGTGTCCAGGCCAGATGGGAAAAAGCAGCAGGATTGTGAATTCCACAAAGACAGTAAATAGTACCTGCATAGAGGCATTCCCTCCTCACACCTCTGACCTGTGTGCCTGCTGGCTGGCAGTTTTTGACATGCCCTGGTAGTTCCTGGGCCCCAGTTGCTGCCCTGTGCAGACACCCTGCCTGTGGCTGGCAGCAGCGGGAAGCAGCGCTGGCAGTGCAGGAGATTCCTGGATCTCCACTGGCAAGGGGCACTGCTGCCCGTTTCACAGCCTCCTTGGTGTTAAAGATTCAGAGGTGCCAGGGCAGAACAGTGACCAGGGGCTACCTGCACCTGGCCCTTCCACAAGGGAGGCAGAGGGGCAGCAGGGCAGGTGGTAGCCAGGGCTGCTGTGGTTTAATCCCTTGTACTCGGTTCATAGTGCACCTCGGTTAGTGTAAGTTTACTTGTTAATTGATTTGCTCTTTCAGGAGGCTCAGGTAAGAAATCACTCTGCTCCTTCTTAACACACACACAGAGATGAGACCAAGACAGTATTTCTGACTATTTGTTTTCCCCACGGCTGCCTGGCATGCCGAGAGACTTGGGAACACACAGACCTTCTGGTGGGTCCTGCACTCCAGGCACAGCTCTGCCAAGGAGCACAGCCTGCTCCCGCACCTGGAGTTCCCCAGCATCATGGTCTTGCTTTCCCACATCCCACAGATGCCATACCAACTGCACCACAAGGGTCCTTTAGCAGAAGCACAACTAGAAAGCAATTCTAAACCTCACAAAGCCACAGAAATTATATTTAAATGAACAGGGGAGACAAGGGCTGTCATCTGGATTGATATGCAGCACAGACAGAAGATGTATCAGTATGTACACTAACATGACTTACTAAGACTGCGGAATGTTAACGAGTTTTAAAGAGACTGATGCCAAGGGCATACAGAAAGGACCAAAGTAATGCCAAGTACAGACTACCAAGGAGGTGGCAGCTCAGATGGGCATGCACAAGTTAGGGAGAACAGTTAATGCCATGTTGGATGAAATGCTAGATTGTGAGTGGGTTCAGTGGGGGCGAGCGGAGCTGTCTGAATCCAGAAGAGGGGCTCCTGCCTAACAGGATACTTCCATGGTTTGAGGTGCATCCTGGAGGTCAATTCCTTCTGGGGTTCCAGCACTTCCTTCACCATGTTTGCTGGTGTGGGAGTGGCTGCGGACGCTATCCCCAGAGCCCAAGCTGGAGGAGGAGTGGGTACGGGAGCGCATCAGCCGGGTCATGCTGGCTGCAGGCACTGCAAGAGAGAACAGCGCGGCTGAGAACGGGGGCAGGTCCTCAGGGCAGAATCACAGTCACTCAGATACGTGTCACTGGGTAAGCACAAAGAGAGCTGTACCCTCAGGAAGAAAACTCACTCTTCACTGCCAAAATTAAGTCTTTGCACGTCTAAAGCAAGATGTTTAAGGCCCAATTTCAAAAGGTCCAAGGTGAGCAAATGCCAGAGGTGTAACTGATCATTTGCACGTGCAGCCACGGTGAGTGTCTGTGCAGGCTGCTGTACAGGTGACCTTTTGAAAGTCAGTCTCGTTACTCCAGAAAACCACAGAGCAGAATTCATGCAACCATCAACAAAATACAAATGAAAGGTGAAAAACCGTAGCATACACATTGTACAATGATCAGCCCAGCTGGCAGCAGGACATGCTGAGACAGAGCAATGCACCCGAAGGATCATTCAACTCAGAACACGAGTGGGGCCGAGGCAGATGCACAGTTGGAGGTACCTGACTCAGTGCTTAGGTGGCTGAGCTGCACATAAGGGACTGGAAACAACATGAGACAAGGAAAGGGGTGAATACAGGAAAGAGCTGATTAGTTGCAGTGTGTGACTAGCACCTTGTTCTGCTACTGGGATCCCTGGCTACTCTGCCTTCTGCTCCCAGCTCACACACTGCACTGAAAGCTCCCAGTCTTTGTGAAAAGCTCTGCTGATCAGCATCCCAGGGGGATGACAAGCTGACTCAAAACTCCAGCAAGGCCAGCTCTCTCCAATGCCTTTAGCTGGGACTTGCAGTGTAACTGGTGACCTTGCCTCTCCACTGCACACACAGCTGCTCAGCAGAGATAGATGTCATCCTCCTCTGGTGGGGAAACTGGGTTATACTCTGTGACACCAGGTATGGAGCAGAAATCCACACAATTCCTTGAGCTGACAGCATCAGATTTCTGCTGCAAGCCTCCTGCAAGGCACCACCTTCCACCTGCAGTGTCAGCACAGGCAGGTCCAAACTGTTTCACACAGTGTGCAGAAGGAAGAAGAGTAGCTGTTGAGGCTACTAAAGCCTAGAAAGGCTTGTGCCTTTCTAGAAATGGCAACCTGCTGGTTCACTCCTCTCTTACTCCTCTCCCAAGGCAGGATGCATTGCTGGCCAAGCTCAGCACTGCTGACAGAGTCTTGCCCACCAAAGTTAGGGTTATTCCCATTCTGGGACTAGCTACTAAGTCTGCAAGTAAAAAATTACCCCATCCTCAGTGCTGCGCATCCTAATTGCAAAAAAACTGATCCCCAAAGTGTTGTTGAAGTCCTCAGCACCTGCTGACCTTACTAACACCAGGAACATAAGAGATGTGAACACTAAGATGCTCTCAAACTGTGAGGCTGAGGGACTAATCTCAGATGGTACCCTCCCCTCCAGGACCAGGCTCTTCTGGCCAGCCTTGGAGAACACAACTGTCCTACTATGTTCATGTCAACAACACACAGCCCTAAGGAAGAGGACAGGTTCTTCTGAGCCCTGACACCCAGGAGTTGGCAAAGACCTTCTGGCTGTATGGAGACCACTGGGAGTGTCTTGGCTGCCATGGTGGCCATGCTAGTGGTTAACCAGTCACATGAACCAACCTCTCCTGTAATCCCAGCTTCTGAAGGTTCATCATCCACAGAATGGAACTCCTAGCCCTGGCTCGTGGCAGGCAAGACAGAGCTGTGACAAGGAGTCTACAGTGGGGGCTGACTTGTTTTAGTGCACTGAAAAGCCCCTCCCCTGAGGTCCCCCAGTCCAGGAGTACCCAGGACAGGGCAACTGAGCGGCTGTCAGCCTGACACAGGACACAGTGTCTTCAGCCTCCAAGCACAGGGAGGAAGCCATAGGGCAGGGCATGCACTGGATCAAAGCAGAGCTCCCTCTGGGCTTCCCAGCTGTCTCAGAAGTCACCCAGATCTCTGTTCTGCCATGAGAGGGTTTCATCCTGAGATACTGCCTACCCCTGGTGAGAGCCTGAAGGAAACAGTCATGGCTGAGGAGAAAGGAAAGAGCTCTTATCACAACCCATCACAACCACAAGGCTGTACTGCTAGCTCCTGCCCCTCTGGAGAAGGTGTGCACAGAAGATTTCTGAAGAGTCACTGATCCTGGGAGCAGGCTCTTCTGGACTGGCACAAAGACAGACTTACAAGGTTTTACCAACACCAGCAACCAAAATGGGGTCAGCACTCCAGCTGCAGATCAAACAAAGGGCAGGGAACAACACTGGTTTGCTAGGGCTGGTTAGCACACTGGCTGATTTTCCGGCGTGGATGGATCTCCTGGCAACCACACTAACTCATGGGTGGGGACACAGATGCCAATGGGCTCAGATGGACCAGAAAGGCTGAGTTCCCTTCACAACAACCCTGCTCCAAAACAGAAAATTTTGTTTGCCACTTACTGTAGCCCATTCCCTGCAAAAAGTACTTGAAGGCTTCAGTCAGCTTGCCAGGCTGTGAAAACAGAAAGTGTGGCTTTAGTGTGAGCAGCATAGGGGGCTCTGAACAGCTCAAAGGCCTGGGACCCTTGAGAGGCTTTTCTCACCTGAACCACCTGGGGGAGGCCCCCGCAGTCAGCCATCTGCAACAGAAACAGAAGGGAGCTTGAACCATCCTTCCCACCCCAGGAGGACCACCCCAGAATCTTGCCAGTGCTGCCCACCCCCCGGAGGCTGAGGGCACCAGCCTGCACTGCTACACAAGGCTTCCACCATCTTGCCTCTAAAGCAGAAGCAAGACCTGGAGACCTGCCTTTGGGGAGTCTGTTGCTGAAGGAACCCAGCACCTTGGAGGCTGCATCACCAAGAGATCTCAGGCCATTCCCTAGAGGTGCAGGAGTAACCTTCCACCATCCTGGCTCTCCTGTCACTCTTCCCAAAACTGCCACTTTACACTACTACACAGCAGCTGTCTGGGACACTGGAGACATGGTGAGGGTGGGAAAGACTGGGGTAAAGCCAGAAACTGCTGTTGCTGGCAGAGCAGGGGGGAGGCAGGGCACCTCTGCCCACCCTCAGCAGGTCTTCCCTGAAAATAACAGAGACATGGCCATTAAGCCAGGATTCAAGGATCCCCTGACAAACTCTTCTCTCCTAAGTCAGGCTCCATACAGGAGAGAACACAGCCCTGAATGACTCTCCACAAAGATCTTACAGCTAAATGTATGGAAAACAATAACCTAAGTGGAGCTGGCTTCAGCAAAAATAATGTCTTTGTACAGTGTGGAATGATAGTGGAGCAGCACTCACCTTCAGAAAGGTAGTTTTGGTCGGGTCAAGACGTGAATTGCATTCAACCTAAAAAAAGGGAGGAAAGAGGGACATGGTATCACACAGAAAACTTGGAGAGTCAGATGTAAAATGTGGGGCAGCTGCACTAGAGGCAGTGGCTGTTTTCAGCAGTGGGAGCCTCTCTGGGGCCATGAAGGACTTAGTAAGAAAGCATGAGAGCATGGAGGAAGATGGGGACTTGGAGCAACCTGGTCTGGTAGGAGGTGTCCCTGCCTATGCAGGGAGTTGGATCTAGATGATCTTTAATGTCCCTCCAACCCAAACCATTCTATGATTCTC